TCTGGGAGTTGAAGTCCACTCATCTTAAAGTGGCCAAGTTTGGACAACACTGATTTAGGGTGACACTATCATCCACGCAGTTGAGGCTAGTGTATATGCAGTTGCAGTTTTAGATGCTAATCATGTATGTGCAAAATGGAGGAAAGGAAGGTTCCATTCGAGGAAAGCTCAAAAAGGAAGAGGCTCATTTTGAAAAACTACAGCAGAATATAGGAGATAGCGGGTACGCTTTAGATATGGGTTTATCCTCTTTTATTGTTATACAGTATTTCATTAATACGCATATAAACATTTATGTTTAAAATTTTAATTGTCTATTTCCATCGAGCTGGAACCAATTACCCCACTTTCCGTAGAAATATCACTTTGATTAGTGAGAATTTGAATAAGGTGACCATTTTGTGGGACTTATTAACCACACAAATTGAGACTTACCTGTACAAACATATGTAGAGCACTGAGTTGGTAAAATAAAGAATCCCATCTACCGCCATCACTTGATGCTTACTCTATCTTCTACTCTGCCAGTTTGTCTCCAAGAGTTTATTTATTCCTTAAACTTGTAAACTAATTTAAGATGTAGTTTATTATCTTTAGTGTCTTAAATGGTGTGGGATTGGGATACTTGAAGAATCATCTTTTTTCATGATTCCATCCTTCACGACCAGTTTTTCTTTTCTCTTACAAATGCTATTCCTACAACCCCTACATTCCTATAACGTACCCTTCTTTTTTGTTCTGAAAGCTAGTGTTTTAATTAAAGGATACTAAAAAAAAAGAGGAGTGAAACATTTTAATCTTCTGGAGTTTTTAATAGATTCTGGACTTGGAATTTATTATCTCAACACACTCAAAACTTATTCAGGCCTTATAAAATATTTGGTGGGTGTACCACGTGATCACTCTGGATAAGCTTCTTCCCCTGTTGATATGTAGACATCTGCATGTTCAGCATGAATATCTGCAGAACAGAAGCCTTATTGTTGGCATCCACATGACAAAAGATGCTCTTATTGAAGGATACTGGATTGCATGGAAGTGAATGTGCATCCAGTAATATACAGAAGGCTTCTCTCCTGCAGACGTTACACTGAACTCACAAAAGTCTGCAGAAGGCCATCATTTGAGTGACATCAGTGGGGAGTGGTAAGTGTTTCTGATTGTATACTGCCTGAACAGAGCTATTAGGTGAGAAAATTTCAAGGAATAGCGAACCCTGGGAAAGAAGGTTTTGCAGATATAGATATAATCCTGTCATGTTATCTTTTAAACAGTATAGAAGACTAGGGACTTGTGTGTGTTCTGCTAAGTTGGGAAAGCAATAGATTTCTTTTTATGCTGGTTAAGTACTAATGGCTGTAATGTGCTTTATAGTTTAAAAAAATCTTTCATGGTCTTTTTCCCATCACCCATGTAAACTATATTAGAAATATTATCAATATCATGTTTTCCTTATAAAATAAACCAACTCAGTGCATAGGATGTCTGATGATGGACTATTAGAATATAAGGCACCTCCTCCAAGTTTCATATCTGGAGGGAGTAGGGACTGAAGATCCGGGAGGTGTGAGTAGAAGGATAGGTCTGAGAGAGGTTCAGAGTCCAAGCTGAAAGGACTCTTCCAACTGTCAGAGTTAGAGATCTTAGGATAGATATTTATTCCCAGGAAATGTAAAGATTAGCAGCCTTTTGACAATATAAGGTACTAACTAAGGGTAATCTTGGTATAAGAATATTCTAAATATTCATCTCTCTAGGAGAATATACTAAAGGAGTTAACCTAAGTTGTAATTTTCAGGGAGCTGGTTAACAATAATTTTAAATTATGTCATAAGTGTTAATTTGATTTTTTTTCAAACTCTAAAAAATAGTGACTGTTTTGCTTTTTATTTTCCCCACATTCCACCAAGTCAGTTAACATGCCCACACACACACACAGACTCCCTTTCTCCCTCCTGAATTTCCAAATCAGAAAAAGGTGGTAGCAAATCAACAGCTCCTTTAAGGATCCCCCTTGATTATTGTGATTATGTGTATATCCCTTCTTTTTGAAGAGAAAAAGAAAGGATATACACAGCAATTAGAGGGTACAACAGGATAATGCATGGATTAATATGATGTTGATAAGGACTCCTCTGAAAATAGTAAAGTAGGCACCACTTTGTCAGCAGAGAGGAGACAATTTTATATGTTTATTCAAAGCAAAAATGAAATTTAGTTGATTCATACTATCAACATCATACATTACAACTATGGAGTTTTATTCATGGGAAGAATGTAAGCTGCATTTTTTCCTTGGATTATGGGAATTGTTTATTTATTATTTTATTAATCTTTAGAAGAATACAAAATATAAACAAAACACCAAGATACACTAAAATAGCAACATTAAAATAAGAAATCCTTAAATTTAAAAAAAAATGATATAAATCAGAAGAAGAATAGAGAAGGAAAAAAAAAACAGACAAGCTAAAAATATTCCTTATATATTAAATTTATAGATAATCCCTGGTTTATCTTTGCCAAAGAAGAACATATTGCTTTATTCTTTGGTTCGTGAAAAATATTGCCTTACCAATAGAAGAGAATATGTGTAGCTCAGGGTTAAACACCAACCCAATACAGAAACTAGACAACCTAATCAAGAGGAACCCTTAACGACCTAACCAAGAAAGGCCAAATCACAAAAGAAGAACAGTGGCAGATGAAAAGCAGTGAACCCATCCTCTCATGTTTCTATGGACAGCCAAAAATACACAAGCCTGACATACCTCTTTGACCAATTGTATCTTTACCAGGGACTTTGACCAATTGTGTCTTTACCAGGGACTCCAACATACAACATAGAGAAAGAAGCTTGGACAAAAAAGCTTGGACATCTCTCAGAGAAGAGCAAATATTCTATCAACTCCTCACTACAGTGCCTCCAGAAAATCAAAGATGT